CATCATCATCATCATCATCTTAAGAGAAGATTGAGTGTCAAACATAAACAGCAACAGAAAATTTTCGAAAAACTTAAAAAAGTAGGAATCGTATAGGAAAACCCAGGAGAGAGAGAGAGAGAGAGAGAAACATTTTAGAGATTCCAATTTACTACAATCCCGAGGAAAATAATGATACCTGAAAATCAATTTCGAATAAATTTCCACGTAAAAAAAAAAAAGAAAAAAAACGCGTATGAGACCGCGTGCGTAACGACCACACGATAAAATAATGATAATGATAAAAGTTTCTCAATATAATGGACGGCCGATATAAAGCCGGAAAATTTCGAATGAAAATTTGCAGCAAAAATCCTTACTTCCTCCCGTAAGCTCGCGCGCGTTAACAACAGCAAAAAAAAAAAAAAAACAATAATGAGAACGGATAAGAGATAATTTAATTGACTTCAGGCTTTGATTAGGTTTCCATGATTTCCATGATTTAAATTTAAATTCAATTCGAAAAACAAAAAAATTTACACACACACACACACGTATCGCGCATCTGCGAGTGTGTTAATTGAATTGAATAATTTTTTTTAAATGAAAAAAAAAAAAAAAACCGCGTGACTGACCGCGAACGAGTACGCAGATAATAATAATAATAATAAAAATCTATTAGATTGTTGTTTGTTTGTTTGTTTGACTGTAATTAAACTAAAATATTCTTCTAATCGATATATATCTATATATTGACTTTGAAATTCTTTACAAAACATTTTCTTATCACGCCCTAACGTTTCCTTGTTGTTTTCGTTCGGTGTAAAAAAACAAACGTAAATCGAAACAGAAAATCGCGATATATCGATAAATCGAAAAACCTACGATTTCACACCTTTTTCGAATCGATTTTAAAAAAAAAAAAAAATCATTTTCGATATTATTCACAATAACATCCGCACAAAAAACGTATGTATCAGAGTGCGATATGAATTCGAACTTGTTTTGTTTGTTTGTTTGCCTGTTTGTTTCATTTCATTTTTTTTTTTTTTTTTTTTAAATTTATCGATTACTAAACAATCGAACGCTTTTATCGATCGTGTCGATGTAATTAACACAAAATTCTAGTTACCTAGCCAAAAGCTAATTATGACTTTTTTTTTTTTTTTTGTACTAAAAGCGCGCTTTTCTTCTGCGGTTTCTTCACACTTTCTCCTTATTTTCATTCATGAAATTGAAAGTGTTTTCCCGCACCCTCCCCCTCTCCCTTCTACTTCATTCTAATCAACACTATACCTTTGGATAACTATTGACTTTAACTTTTTTTCATTATTATTATTATTATCGTGACTTTCTCTCGAAGGAAATTCTACGTAATTGTTTTAAAATTTCTCACCGAACGTAATGTGAGAATTTGTTTGGAAAAAAAAAAAAAAACCTAAAATCACGAAGGAAAATTTTCTGTAAAAGGTATAAGAGGAGATTAACAACAAAAATTTTTTTTTTTAAATATAAAAACCATTTTCAAATTTGACTCGAAAAAACTTACGCACTCACGCAAACGAAAACCAAAATGAAATCCTCCAAAAAGGTTCAACATTAAACAACCATTATTATTATTATTATTATTATTATTATTATTAGATACTAAAAAAATTTTAATTAACCAAAAAGATGTAAGACATTAAAAAGAACATTAGCGAAAATTTAATGATGATAATAATGATGATAAATGCGGCTTCCAAATGAGGGGAGGAGGAGGGAGGGGAAATGTTCGAGTGCAACAATTCGCCAAAACTATTATCGAAACGTTTAAGGGGTTTCGATAAGGAAAAAAAATAAATTTAAATCTCGAAAAAAAAATTTATAGGTACGAGAATTTAAAGACGTGCGTAGGCAGTACAACATCAATTCTTAAAATTATTTCTTACATATACCCAAACAATAATAATAATAATAATAATAATAATAATAATAATAATAATAATAATAATAATAATAACAACAATAATAATGACGTGATTTGCAGAAATACGTTTTCGTATAATTTCGTTCTTTCCTTTTAATAAGAAAAGAAATCTTACAAAGTTGTTACGACCAATTTTAAATCAAAGAGAAAGAGAAAGAGAGAGAGAGAGAGAGAGAGAGAGAGAGAGAGGAAAAAGGAAAGAAAACAGCATCCCGACAATACACAAAAATGATGATGATGATGATGATGATGATAAAGCCCGGATTGTTAAATCAAACCTTAGGTAATAAACATATGTTTCAATACATTTCAAATCGAAATTTTCCTTTTCTTTTCCTTTCATTTTCATTTACGCACCAAAGAATAATAATAATAATAATAAATCGAATGAAAGAAAGAAAGAAAATAAAATAATTAAAAAAAAAAAAAAATTACGCGTTATTATTAATTATCAATAATTACGCGACGGAGAGAGAGAAAGAAAGAGAGAAAATTGAAAACGTTTGACGATCGCAACGCGACAACATTTCGATAATCATTTAAAAAAAAAAAAAAAAAAATAATTGAAAGAGGAAAATTAAATAAAACGGCCATTTAAATAGAAAAAAAAAAAAAAAAACAATTTTTACAATTAAAATGAAAATGAACAACGCGTTCTCGATATGAAAGTATGGTTGGATAATAAAAAGTCGTTATTTGGCTGTTGGGACAATTTTCTTTTTTAAAAGAAACAACAAACAATAACAACAACAACAACAACAACCGTCCATCATCAAATTTTTTAGGTATTAAAACTAATGAGTACCTGATTTGATTTTACCCATTGAAAATTCTCATCGACCATCTTTGACATACGAATCAATAATTTTATTTATACCTTTGGTAGAATTTTTTTATATAAAAGCAAAATCCCTCCGATTTTCTTTTTTTCCTGCCCCTCCCTCCTTCTACCCCCTCTCCTCACTTT